GTGGCAACCCTGATATACCTTTGGTGTTGTCAATATATAGCATTTCTTTCAAACATAATAATATCTCTGAGTACTTAAGAGCAATGATCAGAATTTGGATAATGTTTACTCGCCTCCAACGCCGGCACTACAACAAAGCACCACTTGTTTGGATCAACATGTGTTCTCACTGAGGAAAACCCGCTCCACAACTATATCACCTAATCAGGAATTACATTACTATTTTTGATGAGTATCCTGTGGAAAACACTCATAGTATACTTCGTTCTCAGTCAAAAGGTTCTGATACTGCAGAAGAACTCAGGAAGAAGGCAAAGTCCATTTTCCAGTCGAAGGATAAACAGTCCCACTACAGGTCATTTTTCACCACACCTGAGCAGTTTTCTCTCTCACACAACCAACTTTGCTTATTAAAAGTAAGATGTGCTCAAGTACTGTCCTCCACGTTTAAAAAAATCTCTCACAGTCCAGGACAGAGTCTCATCTTCTCAAAAAATAGATGCAACACAAGTGTCCCAAACTCATGTCCCACTGCCAACAATGTCTCCCAACAAAAATATGACGACTGCTGTTTTACCTCTCGGGTATCACTGTGATATCAAGCCAGATCAAACAAAACAATGTGATTTACCTCAGTGTAATACTTCCAGCCTAGATGAGAATTGGACCCTCTTGCACGGTTGTCATCACTCATTCCATGATGTTTGCCTTGAAGGATCAACTTCATGCCCACTCTGTAAGGGCTTTCTGGAAAAAAAAAGTAAAAGAGCTTGGTGAGACAGCAAAAAAAGCCATTCTATATCCTGCATCTAACATGCATGAAACTGAATCCCAACATGATCTTAATAAAGAAACATCAGCAATGCCAACAGATTCTTTAGATGAAATCTCTGGGGTAAGAGAAATTGAGAGGGAGGAGTTTCATAGGGTCATCAGACAGCTGAACAATGAAATATTTCTAACCTTAATCCAGCAACCCAACCAGTCACCTCTTCCAAACCTTAGCCAGAGTCAAACTTATCACCAAACCACACCTTCACCCAACAAGGCACCTCCCCACTGTACACAATGTCACCATCCTTTACGTGGACGCAAGAGGAACAATGTACAGGTTAAATGTCCTTTCTGTGAAAATGATATATGTACAGTCAGTGAACGTCAGCTGCTCAAATTGTCCTTGTTCATGGCACACAGCAAACCTGAACAAGAGCATTCAGAGTACTTGCAAGAACCAATCAGCTCCATTACCAAGACCAGATTCCCAGACTACTCTTCGCATAAATGTCACTGTTGCAAAACATCTTGATATTGCTGAGTGGCTTCTGCCCTCATACATTTGCCAGTCCTCCATGGGTGGAAGAGCTGGTGGCAGTAATGTCTGCACCGTAATTTCAGTGCTTGCTGCACTTCATTTTCTGGAAGGAACCCTTCAAATTCCCAAGCAGTTACAAGACCTCATGTNGGGAATCAGTTATATGACTCTTTCAATGTACCAGTTCAGCAACCAAATTTGGAAGTCAGACAAGTCCTTCAGCATGGACAAAGTGATACAAATGTGAAGAAACTTGAAATTGTTTCAAACCCAGGTTCCTTTACTGTGAGAGACCTTGAAGACCACCGTACACAACACCATCATGTGCATCCATCATTTGCAGCAGTATTGATTGTGCCACCAGACAAGTCAATGGTAATATGTTTTAATCAAACAAGTATTTGTCTTTTTGCAAGCCATACAGTCATGGTCTCCAGGGTGGCATTATTGCAACCAGTTCATCTGGGCATGTCAGCAACTTTGTGAAATATCTAGAAAGGATGGTTATGTGAGACTGGAAGAATGGTTTACATGGTTCAAAATTGGCAATTTTAAGGCTAAAGTAAATGTTGACAAGGTTTAATTATACAATAGAAGCAGAAAGAGCAGGATTATGATAATTAAGTACTTGTCCATTTGCTGTATCATATTTGATGAATCAGAACAAGTTTGATTAAATTATTGAGCAAGTTCCATCTAAAAATTTCACTTAAAACTAATTTTGCAAGGCAGAAGCATTCTACTGAAATAAACAATTCAAGATAGAAAAAGCTGACACCATTTGTTTCGAATAACACATGAACATGAAGAAAATGGTGCCAGTTTGAACTCATGAGACAAAGCCCATGCATTTATTTGAGGTAAAGGGACTAGTCAGATCAAAAGCTGATTAAATAAACAATGAACTGACATTAGTAAGGGATTTGGGGGCCATGCATGTAATAAATAAGTTCTACCAATGTTTTTCCGCTAGTTAGCGCTTCAAGCTTGAAAGGCATTAATAAAAGTTACCACATTAACACAGTAAAAAAATAGGCCAAAACCAGAGTTAATTGAAGTAAGGCTATAAGCGTTGTCAAGACACATGCCCACCTACCATGTACAACAAACTTGGAGAGCAAAAAGGCCAAAGACAGTTCTGAGCCATAACTAAGAAAATTCTCCAAACCCTCTCAAATGAGAATTTGCCAAAGGTTGTGGTGATAGCCACTCAATCTTCAGGCTGGAACATTTTTTAAAGCTTTGTGAGCGAAGCGACTGCAAAGGAAAAGAAAAAAGAATGTTATTTGAACTGATTTGAAGCTTGGGGCCACCTCAAACTTAATGCAATTTTACAGCGAAGTTCAAGTAAAATACCATCAAATTCTAAATTACCTTCTTTTACATATTTATGTATTCCTCATATAGTTTCACCAACTACGCAGCAATCATCATGATGAAAACTTTGGAAGGCAACAAGGTCTGTTCCTTTGAAAGGGGCAGTATCCAGCAAGGTATGATCTCATTCCTTTTTGCAATATCCTGAAATCAGATGACAGTGTCAATGACCATTACCATGCAATTTTGTTTCATTTGACACCTCTGGTATCTGCTGTTTAGCAGTTTGACATAAGTTAACTTGGTCAGCTGCAGTAAGCACACGTACCAGATGCTTGATATTATTTGAAGTAGACAGTATTCAGCTCAGAGTGTTGTCATAATTTAACAGTAAAATTTCTCCTGTCCTGAAATCAGAAGTGGACATCATGGCTGTGAGCAAGCACTTTTATTTCATTCCACACATCTCTGCTACTACTGTATGGTAGTTTGACATCAGTGCAAACAGCACATGTTGCAGAAGCTGATATCAATCATCTTTAGCTCTTGAAAAATGCCTTGAATTAACCCAGTATAAAAGCATCAGTTATTGCTTAGCTGCATCCCAGAGATGTCTGTGCCTTTTTGTGTTGAATACATCTCTGTGTTGTGTATTTTCCTTCCATGCTACTCTAGTTTTTTTCTGCAAATTAAGAGACAATTAAATGTTATTGTAAGATAAACACTGGTAATTTTTATATGAAATTGCATCTAAAGCCTAATAGTATACAAACCTCTCAGTCCTTTAGGCTTGATATACATGTATTTAAAACTTACCTGCCTTGTGTGCTCGGGGTCCTAGCAAACTCAAGACAGGGATATCAGCCTGGAGGGTTCCCTATCTTGTTTGATGGTGGTTTTGATGGATTTGTCTGTGTGTATAATTATAATTATGCATTATGGTAAGGCTATGTATTGCAAAATGGTAAATTGGCCTTGAATTTTTTATTCAACATGGTAAATATTTCTAAATATTTCTAAATATTATGTATAATATTATGATACTACAGAAGTCATTATTTCAAAAATGGAAATTCTTACTCAGTTTTCTATTAAATAAACAATGGTTTATGATCACTGCAGTATGACTCTAAGACACCTGAAGACTTTACAAAATGTGGAATATTAGTGTAGATGTGATCTAATAGTGAGCAATGGTCTGCAGTGTACTGCTTAATTAGCTGTGTATAACCTATTTCTTCTACTAAACATCTCGTTAGTGCTTTTTGCTCAGATGCCTTTTCTCGTAAGTTGACATTAAAATCACCTAGGAGTACAACTGGGATGTCAGAATTTGTTAATTTTGAGTCATGAAGATAATTTAGAGCATCAATAAATTTTGTCAAATTTACATTTGAACTGGATCTGTAAATACCAATGACATTTAGTTTAGAAATAGGTTATACACAGCTAATTAA